CCTCCACAGGCAGCCACATTAGTCTTAAAAAGAATTTGTCTAGGTGCGGCAATTGCAGTGCAGTCTTAGTCAGCCTCCGTGCGCCAACGCAAACGCCCGTTGGCGGTAAAGCAACGCAGCCGAAGTTGCCACCCGTGGCCTGGGCACAGCTTTCCCTGGGACAGCACTCCTTTCCCGCTTCCTCTCCATCTAAGCGAGGCTCTCTCTCATGAATCATGTATTAATCGACAAACACATACAATCAATAAGTCCTTATTGTACTTCGTTTGTTACCAACTTATGCCTTCCTTAAATTTTGTACTTAAAGGAAGGGTACATTATGATTTTAAAAATATTTCAAGGTTGCCAAATAAGTTTCAAACCTACCGGCCGTTTCAAACTACGGCCTGCGTACAGCCTATGTAAGAAAAAGTACCTTTTCCCTATGGCGTTAGGGAGACGTCACATTGGTCTCCTAGACTTTTGCAGTGGATGTGGATTATGCTGTAGACATAATAGGCAATTGAGAAGAGGACTCGATCGCTGGGACAATATGTTTGTTCGCCTGACGTTTCGACAGTCATCGCAGATTCATCTGCAGGGACATAATCACCGAACAGCAGCAGATACAGGTGTCTATAGACCTTAAATATACTGATGTATACAATGAGCAGTAATTAGTTTCTAAGTAAATTAAATAGTCAAACTTTCAAAACCGCTTTATCAAGCAGAAAGCAAACAGGGAAAGCTGGAGGACCCCTTGGCGAGCCACCCCCTTTTAGCTAGTTCATGGACCGTTAGGTCAAACATCAATATGAACGAAACTCTACCGAACTGTGCTTATGTCTCTGAAGAGGCATCCACGACGAAATGTCGAATTGTCAAGCGAATAAACATATTGCCTCAGCAATAGAGTCATCTTCTTCTCAATTACTTCCTGGGACTCGCATGTTCGCTAGTATCGGCAATTATAGGCAACATTAATAAATTGACGGATACAACGTATTAGGAATGAAAATCTCACAGTCGTA